AGAACCGGTGTTTCAGCGTGATTTGACCGTAAGCTGATTGTGAGTGTGTATCTATTTATCTGGAAAAGAAAGAAAGAAATGATCTGTGGCAGAATTAACAGTACCCTTTAATCCTGCACCCTTGAGACCAGGTGACTACTGGACCACAGAAAATATAATTTGACAACAGACAGTTCCACTGCTATGTTGACATATTGACCCTAAACTGGTCAGAACATTAACAATATTTTGTGAACTTCACTGTCTCTCTCTACCAAAGTTAATTTTCAATATTTTTTTTTTAATCATTTCACCTCAAGCAAGGCAGTGAAGCCACTAAGATGCAAAGAGAATGAAAAAATATGAAAAAAAAGAAAACATTACTAAGGAGAAAAAACATTAAAAACCAAGAATTAAGAAGACAGAAGATAATAATTGACATTGCACAAGTGAGAAGTATGAGAGAAGAAACTGTTAGCATAGAACTTACGGTTACATTTCAACTACAAAATGATTAGACTTAAGCTGCTAATCTAGCACTGTGCTTAAATTTGTAACGTCAAGGTACCAAAGAGAAAAGCTCATCAGAACAATTACAATGAAAATATAGAAAGGGCTATGTTAAGGTGGTTGGAAAATGATTGAAACAGATGCCATGTCAGGACATTGCAGATTCTTCTTCTCACCAATTCAACTGTAAAATGAGACCTAGTTGCCAATCTAGTACTGCGCTTAAATTCATAAAGTCTAGGTACCAAAGAGGAAAGTTCATCAGAACAATTATCATGAAAATATTTATCGAAAAGGCAGAGGGAAGCTATGTTATGGCAGCAGGGAAGTGACTGAAGCCAAAGTACCATAGTGTCCATAATAAATCTTATTCATAAAATCAACTAAAAGCTTTTCTAATTAAATGTTTCAGTTTTATTGCATTTTTTATTTTATAATTCAAAGCAGATTTTTGGTAACTCGTGTTTCTGTTTTACAAAAAATCTTGCAGATTTAAATTCTTCTAGGAGTTCTGCTTTTAAATTAAATTTTGACTCTTTCTTGAAAATTGTTAAAATAAGTGAGAAATAACAGATAAATAAAAAATTATTTTTACCAAGATTTTCTAAAAAAAAAAACAAAAAAGAACAACAACTTACGTAAAATAATTTAATTCATTTATGAATAAGTCCTGAAAGTTTCATTAAAATCTGACATTTGATTTTTGCAAGAATTTCCAAATTTAATCTTTGGTCCCCTGCTGATACAAGAAAAATGAGATTTTTCACCAAAATTTCAAAAGTGAAAAAGGATTCAAACATTTAAGTAATCAAAAGATACTTTGCCTCTTATTAATAATAACAAACATTTTAACAATAAAACTGTTTTTATTGTATGTTTCATCATGGAATGGTCTTTTTTCAGCAAATTAGTGGCGATACCTTCATACAAAGCAAGAAAGAGGGATTGCTGTTGCATATTTCAAGAGTACATTTGCTATAGAAATTTATCGTAAATAGAAAACAGATACACCTTAGAAAACCCATTTTTTATAGCTTTCTTCAAAAAGTCGTGTCTTTGTAGGATACTGAGACTCCATGAATGAAATATGTGACCGTAGCATTGTTAAAACGTTTTATACGGCTTATCTTCTCATACAATCTCTATGGTTTAAGATTTTTGTCACAAACTTTAAAAAACACTTCTTTTAGGCTTTTTTCACATAAAGTCGGAACTTATTGAATAGTGGGATTCCCTTATGAAATCGAATATGAGTGGTCGTAGCATTGTTAGAACTCATTTTTTTAGAGCTTGGATTGATTTGTGAATAGAGCGCACCCATAAACTAAACTAAACACGTGACACACCCGACAGAAGTAGATCTTTAGACTTTATAAGTGTGATCATTATCATCACACACATACATACATACTTACACAAATTCAAATTATACAAGCATACATTGGATAATAAATCAACACTACTTTGTAATAAACAATTTACAAATCGCAGCTATGCGACAATTTTATAAATTGCTATATTTTCATGTCGTCGATTTTGTGCACTTTTGGGAGAATCGGATCCCAAGAGCCTTCTCAGCTTAGCAAAGCTTTTTACAGTGATTTTCATCTTGTACAAAGGCTGGGAGCCACTTGAGGTAGAAGGTTACAGAGTAAGAGGCAAATTTTCAGGAAATATCAGCTTCTAATTGGTCAATAAACATACAAATGGGCGTTGCAATCCAGCCACGCACAATATATTTTTCCAGTGCATCAAGTTTACCGCCAAGGTGCTGTGAGCCTGTCACATGATTACATTATCTATAAATAACAGACACGAGTTCACTCATTCTCTTTTTAAATTGTTGTTTTATTCTCCTCCCCCCCCCCCCACAATAAATTTTACATATGGGGACTAGTTAGTATTTTCATGGGGACATTGAGGTATTATGGTGGATGTGGGGAGAAAGGTACGCAAGAATGTGTTGTTCTGGTGCAAGGAATATTGTTAGTATGATTGTATCAGTGTTTGTGGCTAGCTAAGTTTTCAAGTTAAGACAGAAGACCAACCTTTTCTACCTTACCCTTTTCGGCCTTGTGCCACATATTCTGTTATTACAGAATTAACTAAACTTTTTCTCTCTTCTTGCTGCAAAATGTAGCCCTAGAGACCAGAGAATTATCGTCTTGACCATGCGGTCAGACGTTAAATAATATTTCACGCATTCACGTACATACATTACCAAAATATACAAACATTCACCAAAATATGAACATTCACACAATGTTAACTGTCTATGTGCTTTGTAATTTGTTGTTAATATATATATATATATATATATATATCTCAGTCTTGTTTGTCATCTTTATCTTCAGTTGGACTTAATTCAAGTTCGCAATTTTTCTTGTAGCTAGACCTTCTTTTAGCAGGAAATATAAATGCATGTGTTTTCTTTTCATCTACAAGTGTATGTATATTGAATTTTTAGGAAAATTCAGGAACTGAAAATTCGTTATCAGATGATTCGGTAATTTTGACAGGGTAGGAAAATTCAGTAACTATGAAATAAATGTCAATTGAAAATTGATTTTAGGGCCATTCTGGAGTGGGGATCTCGCGGCTAAGCCCCCCCCCCTATATTTTTAACTGAAGAAAATCATGGGGTCCTGATAAAATCCCACCATACAACAATACTACTGTAATTGCAGAAGGGTTGCTTGGGAGCTAAACCTCCTTCCCTGGTATTTTTTAAAACGTATTATTAACAATACGAGGGCCGTACATTCTGAAAGGGTAGGGGGCTAAGCCCCCTTCAAGGTTTTAAAATAAGTATTTTTATAACTACTGTATTTTCACAAGCAAATATTTAAAATGGGTAAGTTCTTGTATCTTCTTTTATAATTATTATTTTAATAAAAAAAAAAAAAAAAAGTAGTAAAATTAAATTAAGTTTTAGATAGTTATTTCTTTTTAAAGAAGCAAAAATTATAGCACATTTCTATTTAAAAAATATAGGGTAGGGGTCTTAGCACCCCCTCCCCCAATGTCCATTCCAGAACAGCCCTAAAAATCAATTTTCAATCGACTTTTACTTCATAATTACCAAATTTTCCTACCTTGTCAAAATTACTGAATCTTCTGTTATCAAATTTTCCGGGCACCTGGTAAATTATTTAATCTAAAATTCAAATTTGAATTTAAAAAAAAAAAAAAAAAAAAAAAAAATCAAAGTTCCTTGAATTTTCATTGTTAGATTTTTTTTCTTTTTATTTTATATGAAATTTTATACTGGGATTTTGTCATGGATTCGTGCAAAAAAACACATTGTAAAATCTCTAGGGAAACTATGCAAAAGAAAGTGATACTTGCCAAGAATTTTTATTCCCATCGTAAGGGGGGGGGGAATATTCAAAGAATCAAAGACGGACATTTTTTTTTTGCCGCTATGAGCTTGTCAACCGAAAATATAATCTTATTTAAATTTATAATTTAGTCGAAATTTCAAATTATTCCTTTTTTTTTTTTTTTTTTGTTCTCTGAGACTGACATGATTTTAAAAAAAAATCCTATTTTAATTATTTTGTTTATGTTTTGTTACAAAACGTGTGCTCAGAATATGAGGTTAGTTAAAGTTTACGAATTGTAATGAAAAGCCTTATCATAGGGCTTTTTTCCTTATTATTATTATTAACCACCAAAATGTTAAATTAAAATTTCAGATTTTTATTTACAGAAACAAAAAAGAAATGTGTGTACTCAGAATATGAAGCTTGTTAAAAAATAAAATAAGGGAAGTAAATCAATGTTTAGTACGCAAAAATTGTTTGGGACGTTAAACTCAACAATATACAAAGTTAAAGTAGAAACAGAAAAACACGACAACGCATTTTTAATAGGAGAAATTATGTGTCACTTTATTTTGGGGGCCGTATAAATTTTTTATCTTTATCATAAAACAAACTGAATAAAAGCAGGCAAGAAATTGTCTTTTCTATTTAAAAAGTAAAAAAAGTGATTTTTTTTTTCTTGTTGTTGTCAAGAGTTATTTTTTACGTCAAAACTAAAAACCATGAAGAAAAGATTTTTTTATCACAGAATCTGTAATAATAGACTAAAAAGTAAACTATTTTATTATATTGAATAAATAAATTATAATTTATTATTTATTTATTCAATAACAAAAATAAAAAGAGACTTAACTACACCAAAAATGTTTTAAAGAATTATTTACATTTTTTTTACCGAAAGATAAACATTCGCTTTTCCCGAAGAAACAAGTTTGTTCAGAAAGGATTTCATTGGAATATTTTTAATAAATTTTACATTTATTTATTCAATCAAAAAAATTCACATTTTTATTTAATTAAAAAAAAGAAGAAAAAAAAAAATTGACAAAATAAACCTAAATTTATAAAAGAAATTTATAACAATTTCTGTTTATAATAAAATTACTAAGTATTAGTCACACCCTGATCAAAAAAAACTGACGCAGCATTAAAAACAAAGATTAATGAATAAAAATAAAAATTCACCTGACGTTTCCTCAAGTCCAGGTAAATAAAATGTTTACTAATATGTTCCTGTGAGTAAGTTCGTCATGACACAAGTCGCCATTACTTGTGAAGGTCAAAGGTCATAAATTGTTCTACAAAATACGAAACTAAAACAACTACCCAACCTAAAAAAAAAAAGCATAGAAAATTTAATTTAAAAAATTGTTTTAAATTATATACATAAATTTTAATTTTAAAAATGATTTTGTCTCTTGAAATAATAAAATACGAAAAAACACAGTTGCAGCTGATTTAAAAAAAATCTCAGGAGGCGTTTGCAGCTCTGTTTCTTCGAGAAAAAAAATAGCGATTCATTTTGAAAGGCTTTCGAAAATAATTGTTGACAGACTTCGAATATCTCAGATGAATTAATCTCGATTGGTATTAATTTAATTTCTCTTTCTTTTCTTCTTTTTAATCTTAAAGCAGCATAATGGCGATCAAAGTTATCCACATGCCCACCCGATGTATGTGGTTCGATTAAAAAAAAAGAAATTGGAGAGAATGGAGACCAGGCGACAACAAGGCACACCATAAAACAAATGAATACTCTGTCATAAATCCAAAAACAATTTTATCAAAATAAAAGAAAAGAATTTTTTTCTAAATATTAGGGATGCACAAATTTGTGTACCCGGAAAAGGGGGTAATAAATTTCTGGACAAGTAACTTTATATTTTTCTAAAATAAGGCTCAGTGGTAGTTGTGGGGAAAAATTTTTTTTCTTTTATGTGCCGTGTCTCTTCATGACTGTGGGGTACAGCGTACCCGGATTAAAGGGAGAATTTAATACGGGATACCCTGCCCACAAAATACAACACAAATTTCAAGAAAAGACAACACGATAAGGAACGTTTGTAGAAAATAGAATATTGTATATTTAATGTCATTCATGCTGAATAAACAAATTTGTATATTTTTATATCTTGTGAAGAGAGTAAAAAAGATTAATGCTTTACTTCGTTTAAGCAAATGTGATTTGAACAAAAAAATGCCTATGTGTTCGCTGTCTTTCAACAGAGTAGTAGAGTAATGTCTGTTTCTTTTATTTTTGTGTATCCGCCGAGTAGGTGGAAAGAAGAAAGGGGCGATCAATTTAAGTTGAAAAAGTGAGTGTGAATGATAAATAAAAGATAAGAGGAAAATGTACTTATCGGGTTGAATTGTTTTGGAGTCAGTTGTAAATTTGTTGTTGTTGTTTTCCTTTCCTACCCCACTTTCTGCTCTTAGTGTCTGGTTGAGTCAGTGACGGACCTGACTGTCAGTCTTCTGTCCTCTATGATCTCTGCGCCCTTCTGACTGGTGATTGACCTGAGTCTCTCTCTTTATAGCTGACTTTTTTCACACTGGATCGTTATCTTTTTTTTAGTTTAGCAAATCGCCTCCTTTCATTGGTCAGAAAATTAATTTCACACCTTATTGCTAAATCTGTTTTTAGTTGTTTTGATCCGATTTTGCGGGTGTGCAAATCTACTTTGTGTTTTTCAGTTATTTGTTGGAATGATAAAGGATTTGTATCCTATAGAACATAGGCGATCGTGGCCCTCCACGTCCTCCTATCCCTTGTAGTTCTCAATAAGTTTTGTCTTTTTGCTACTTCTCCCAGACCCAGTTTAGACATCCACTTGCTTAAGCCCGCTAGGTATGTCATTGCTTTCTCTTGTCCCTCTTTCCCTTTATTCGCCCTGTGAGTATCAGATTTTCCAATGCCTCCTTTTTCATTGTGTCCCAGAAATTTCAACTGCCTCTTCCTCATGTTAAGTTTCTTCTTTATTTGCATCCTCTCCAAAACCTCATCGTTGTTCGGTCCATGGCATCCTTCTGTAAAACCATACCTCTGCTGCCTCGAGTCTCTTCTTCATCTTTGAGGAGACCGTTCAACATTCGTTGCCATAAAGGAGGACAGATATCACTTAGCAGTTCAGTACTCTTTTCTTTGTTACCAACGAAACCCTCCTGTCTCGGAATATTCTACAGAAGCTAATAAAATCTTTTCTTCAAAGGTTCTCAAATATAAACATATCTTAGCTACGGAATTCTACCGAAGCTAATAAAATCTTCTCTTCAAATCTTAAATTCTCAAATATAAAATCAAATCTTAACTTCTCAAATATAAACAAATCTACCGAAGCTAATAAAATCTTCTCTTCAAAGGTTCTCAAATATAAACAAATCTTAGCTACGGAATTCTACCGAAGCTAATAAAATCTTCTACAGAGTCGTCCGAAACGAAAAACTCCCCATCCCGCTAATCTAAATAAAGTTGGGCATCATTAATGTTATTTTAAAATTTAAATCTATCTAAAAATAAAGTGCTTCGACACAGTAAGTCGAAGGTTCAAAGTAGCATGCTATTTTATGTGATAACTATAGGATACAAATCCTATATTCCAACAAATGACTAAAAAAACACAAAGTAGATTTGCACACCCGCAAAATCGGATCAAAACGACCAAAAACAGATTTCACAATAAGGTGTGAAATTAATTTTCTGACCAATGAAAGGAGGCGATTTGCTAAACCAAAAAAAAAGATAACGAGCCAGTGTGAAAAAAAAGTCAACAATAAATACAGAGTTTTCAAGTCAGTCGCCAGTCAGTCAGTCAGAGAAGGGCGCAAAGATCACAGAAGATTGACAGTAAATTTCATCACTGACTCAAAACCGACACAAAGAGCCGAAAGTGGAGTAGGAAAGAACAACAACAACAAATTTACAACTGACTCCAAAACAATTCATAAGTACATTTTCCTTTTATCTTTATTCCTCATTCACACTCTCTTTTTCAACTTAAATTGCTCGCCCCTTTTTCATTTTACAACTATACAAAAACAAAAGAAACAGACATTATTCTGCTACTCTGTTAAAAGACAGCGAACACAGACACTTTTATAAACATCACATTTTTGCTTAAACGAACTAAAACATTAATCTTTTTTACCCTATTCACAAGATAATAAATATACAATGTTCTATTTTCTATAAACGTTCCTTATCGTGTTGTTTCTTCTTGAAATTTGCGTTGTATTTTGTGGGCAGGGTATCCCGTATTAAATTCTCCTTTAATCCGGGTACGCTGAACCCCACATAACTAAGTCAGTTTATCACGGAGCCAGAATTTGAGAGTCTTTACTCATCAAGAAAAAAATTTTGAATTTATAAAGGTAAATAATTCGATATTGCAAGTCAAATTATTAAAGGTAACAAATTTTACGTTTTAACTAAATCAGTTAACCACGGAGAGAAAATAAAAAACGTCTTAAGCGACCGAGGATAAATATCTTTGAGTACCAATTCCTCTGATAAAAAAAAGAATCGTCTGCAGCTTCCAATTCCATGAAAATAGATTTAACAAAAAAAGTATCGTCTGTTTTTTCATCAGACGCGTATTATACAAAATATCAATACATCATAATATTTTATCACTGAAGTTATTGAAAAGATATCTTCTCACTTTATTAATATTCTAAATTTCTTTAAATAAAAATTTTCCAAACCTTCGCTAGCTTCAACAATCAAATAACATGAAATATCACAAGAAAAATGCCTGTGTATAGAAAACAAGGCAAATTAGAAGGAAGATAAGCTACAAAGGGTTTCGGCGAGTTAGAAGGTATATTTACTCTGAAGGTATAAAATGTTCTTAATGATTCTTGTGGTGACAGAATCCGCCTGTGTCTCCAGAGTCCTCAACGTCGAACGTTGTTTTTTTCATCAGTACTTGTTCTCTGTCGTGGAAACGAATATTTTATTACAATAGTCGGGGTGAAAATAAGACTTAATTCTGTTGGAAAAACAACAATTTGGCTGCCAAGACTTTGTTAATGAGTAGGTTCTCGCCGGCCGGTCAGGTTTTCAGATATTTTTAGTGGGTCTCTCACTCCCCGTGTCACGTGTCCCACTCCTGTTGATGGTCGTATGGCAGTGATTTTTATAGACAAAGGTTGGCTCTGACTTACCCAAAGAAATTTTAATCCAATCGAAATAATTTTTTAAATGGTCCAAATACACTTCTCTGAATTTAGAAAGAAACCCTCTTAATGGTTTTAGATGAAACAAACGCAACTGTTTTACTATAAATTAAAATTAAAGCAACTGTTTTACTATAAATTAAAATGAAAATATTTTAGAAATTCAAAAATTTGTAATCGTGCAATACCTTCCAACACCGCGGCTGGTCGCTGAAGTGAGCCCTTCAATCCAGAGCTAACCTTATCCCACGTTGTCATTTAAGTTTGATCATAAGGAGGCCAAGATCGAATCGCCACGGGTATATTCGTGTTGGGCAGGTCCAAGCAGGGCGATGACGTACAGGCAAAAAATAACACTCGAATAAATTGAACAAAAGTAAATATTGTTTTTATATCATTCTTCCGTACAATAATTGGTTTATATCAGAGTTTGCATAGCAATTAATTATCAGCCCAACCAGCATCTAAATCGGAAGTGATACTATCATCGACCTGACAAAAATCTGGTTTGCTGTTGTTGGTAAAGATTGGCACAAGGTTAAAGTCAGGGGGTTCTCTCCGGCAGGCAATCACGACCGGTGGCTGGGATAAACTCTCTGCCGTCTCGTCTCTTCTACTCCGATTCGTCTGGCGAATTCGCTTCGCGTATTCATATTTATCGACATAATTTTGGGGAATTATATTCTCCCAAATCTCTCATATCATTATCTCTCACTAAACCTCCTCAGTGAGCGTGGGTGGCTTATCCCCCACCTCCTGTCTCGAATCAACTTTCGGCCAGGAGAGTCAACTCCAAATTCATTCTTTACAGTTTGCATTTTCAACTGCGTAGAACACATGTCAATCACCATTTCCCTCCCTCAAAGTCTGGATCACTTTTCCATTGTTCAAACTGCTCGACATACAATTCAAGTCATTTATGTGTGAATTAAATCCTCAATTCTTCTCAAGGGTTATTGGTATTAACCCTTCTCGTTTCAATGTATCTCAGCACATAACACTTTCTTATGTTTTAACAAAGGTTTCTTCCATTTTAGCGCGGCAACGACAAATAGTAT